GTAACACTGAACACTTTTTCATAGGCTTATTGGTCAACTGGATATCCTTTTCTGTGAAGTGCCCATTCAAGACTTGTGCTTTTTCAGATTGGATTGTCTTATTGATTTGTAAGCGTTCTTTATATAGTCTAAATTCTAATTCTTGGTTATTTATAGGTATTGTCAGTATTTTCTCAGTCTGTGGACACAGTTATAGGCCTAACCCAAGTGTTCCCATGTAAAGGAGTGAACCAGGCTGCTACAATAAAAGGATTACAAAAATTGTGTGTTACATACAGAATACTCCAAAGGACTGATAGGGACAAGGTACACACTTTACACATCACAATATACACAAATAAGTGGCCAAGAATGAGATATAGTGGTATTATTACCTGCCCTACAATCCTCAGGCCATGGGCCTGGCGGAAAGGAAGACTTTTGTCCTAAAACAACAAATATGAACTCTACAGTAAGGCTTCCCTGGCCAGGTGGACCAAAGTCCTGCCTGAGGCTTTGAGGTTGCTCAATTCAGCTCCCACTGGGCCCTTAGCTTCATACGCCAGATTAGGAGCCACTAAGACTGCTACCGAAACAAACAGTGTGGTTGTTTGAACACCTCAGGACGGCATCCTCAGGAAAGGAACAGTCTGTTGGTCTATTGGTACTTGTCGTGGGTTACCCACTGGGGTGGGTTGATTAGTTCGCCCTTTAGTCTGGTGTATAGGTACAACATTTAGAGGTAGAGAAACTGATTGGCCTATGTGGGAGCCCACTATCCTACTGCATGGAGGACCTCAATAGTCACACTTCACATGGGCTGGAATGACAGCTATGGCACAAGGAACGGAAGTTCCTCCTCTTCTGGCACACAGCAAAATGAATGACTTCACTCACAACCCTTTAGGCATCCTCCCTGGGGCAGCAAATATGGAACACTCAACCAAGGAAAATGCCTAAGGCAGCCACTGTCCTCACCACCCAATGGATAGCCATTAGTGTGATTCTAACAGAAGGGCAATTTACCCCTCTTGGTACCTACTAAACAGCTGTCTTTATGACTAGATATGGCCTACTCTGTTTTCCTTTGAAGCTGCCACTGTCTCTTTAGAGTGGCTCACAGCTTTACCAACGCCCACCATAAAAGTAGTGGCTGGGTCTGTGGACAACTCCCTTCCTCCAGTGCTGAAGGCATGCTTTCGAGTGTGAACCCTCTGGCTGGAACTGACTGGGTAGCTGTGGGAGACACGTGGGGCATGTTCATGCCTCTGTGACTAAGTGAGGTGTAACAGGAGAGCGAGGGCATGCCATCACCTTTTCCTGGACTCATACTGTTGTGGAAACCCTTATCTTGGTAAGAGACCACAACACCTCCCGGTTGTGGTCACGTGAGGGTGTTTACCACTTCTGGGATGGTTTAGGTTGTTGGTACCCAAACATGGTATGCTGAGAAAACTGGCCTCTGTCTTTTTAGTCAAATGGAAACCTCTGGGTTCCTTGTCGCTCTCCAAGTCCTCCTCCCAAACAGTGGGTTGGACTCCTTTGTCTCACTGCCAATGGGTGACAGTACCAAATGCCACTTAATGGTTGCAGCATAAAGACTGCCACGTAACTGCAGGAGCATACTTTGCTCCTAATGGCACTCGGTGGCTGTGTGGCCATCACTTGTTGCCCTGGTTAATGACTGGATAAGGCACTGCACTTTGGGGTTACCCTACGCTGTGAGAACTGTTGGGAAATCTATACCAAAACTGCAGAATTACTCCTGCTAAAGGCCAGATGGACCAAGTGTAGCTCTTTTCCACTACTCTGAGTACCTTTTAACTCATTTTGTTCTTCCCCTTGGCCCCTCAGAAGTAATGGGACAAACTGAAGCTCTGACCAATTTTACTACACAGGCCCTGAATAAAAGCAGAGAAAGCTCATGGCTACTAACTGCTGAAACCATCCAGATGAGGCAGTCCTTCAGAACTGAGAGGCTCTTGCCATTCTAACAGCCACTCAAGGAGGGACATGTGTCTTAGTAGACTGAATGTTGTACCTCTACACCAGACTACCATCAGAACATTACTGAATCATTAGGCCATATGAAGAAACAGATAGAGGCCTTGGACACACCTGATAGCTAGTCCACCTCTCTGGCTGGCAAGGTTTTTCACTGGATCTTAGTCTTTTCCTGAGTATAGTATTGTTCTGCTTTGTTTGTCTGTATTGCTGCTCTGGTCTGTGCCTCCAACTACAGCAATACTGTCTGTTCCTACTTACATGGTTGTTAATTTCCCTCTTTGAGGCCTTTAGGGACCTTGCAGAAGAGGGGGCACATGCCAGATTGTAAGAGCTGGCCTCGAGGGGTGGATTAAAAGGGAAACAAAGTCATCGTTTGCTTTCTTCTAGCTCCTTGTTTGCTAAATCATTCCTATGTAACTCCTGCTGGGGGGCTTTGGAAGACCGAAGTCCTGGCACATGGCCACTATTGTTCACCATTGCCAGAAAACCCCTGCCTCCCACTGGGGGCATGGAGAATTGCCTTAGTGCTGCTGTGGACCAGGACCTCCTTCCTATGCCACTCTCCCTCAACAAACTCCTTTTCCACTTCCCTGGAATTGCCCAATTGTTTCTTCGGTCTCATGGCACCCTCCATATTTGGAGGCAAATTTTGAGTTATTGGTCCATGCAGTGGCAGGCAGCTGCAAGTAATAGTGCATGGTTCAAAGATGGTGGCCAACTGCACCACTGTGAATGTGTGTCACTCTCCAGTCCCGGTGGCAATCCAATCTCCAGCGTCAGGCTTCTGAAAAGGGTCAACACATCTCTTGTGAGTCTTGCATTCCAGGGCTTCAATCCCTAATTTTTCCTGTTCCAGTTATCATTCTGCTTCATTGAAATTTAAAAAATTTGGGTCTGTTCTAATTTTGCTTTGTTGTCCGTGACTGAAGTTGTTCAAAGCCCTGATTAAAACACTATGGATCAGGAGAAGAAAATGAAACAAACATTTTGGATCAGGGGCAGGAAGTAAGGGGGAGTCATTGTTTAGGAAGCACTGAGTATTTATGGTGATGGAAAATGTGGCAATGGATACTGGTGATGGTTATACAACAGGATTAATATAACTGCTGTGACTGAATTGTGCATGTAAAATGTTGAACTGGCAAATACGTTAAAAAAGAAAAAAAAGTCACCTATCAACCAGGCAACCAATACAAGCCAACATTAGAGACAAATCCACAAGTGATCTCAACAATGGCAATGTCAGATAATTTGTGTAAAAATAATAATAATCAAAATACAAAAACACCATGAATGGTTTCTGGGCCTGACTCCTGCTCTACTGCCCGCTTGGCCAGTGGCTGTCCCCTCCTAGTAGTAATGAGCACTGAGCAGAAGGGGGCAGAATAAACACAGGACTGACACCAAACAAGTGCCAAATGTCCCTGGACAGAAGGTACAACTTTCTGCTAGAGGCTGCAGACTAGAAATCGATTTTTGCATCTTGCTTGCAAATCATTTTTTAAAAATTGAATTTAGGTGTCAACTTTTAAGCATTAATAAACCAAAAAACCCCAATGCCACTGAGTTGATTCTGACTCACAGCAACCCTACAGGACAGGGTAGAACTGTCCCAGAGAGTTTCCAAATCTTTACAGAAGCAAACTGCCTCATCTTTCTCCTATGGAGTGGCTGGTGGGTTAAAACCACTGACCTTTTAGCAGCCAAATGCCTTAACCACTGTGTCACCAGAGTTCAACAGACCTCCCTTTATAAAAACCAGGATTTTCGTTTTTCTTGAAAATTTTAAGACTTTCAAGCCTGGGCCCACCATGCTCCTGCCACTCCTTGATGCTGAGGATGACGGTTGGTCACCAATGGTCATCTTACATCCAGTTCACTACATGCGTTTACTTCATATTCACTTTTTATTCTCATTACTTACTTGGCCTCCCTGATATCCACAAGATCCTTCATGTGCTCTGTTTGTCCTCCAAAGTCAAAGGGACTTATACTCCTGTTCTTAACATCTTTGGATGGACAAGCCAAAAGGCTCATGAAGAAGACAGAGATGTGTGTTCAGTGCATATTCGTAGTAGCCAACACATCTGTTGGCTCATGGTCAGCTGAACATGACCCCAGACTCTTAGGAAATATACCCACTCTTATCCCATTCCTCGCATTAGAAGAAAAAAAGACATCTTATAGACAGTGGTTGGGTCTACCATGATTTTATTGTAACAGAGAAACCCGGCTGCAATAAGTCTACATGACTAGAAAAGATGGTGGTCATCTTTCCAAAGGGTGAAGCCTGAGCCTAACTGGCAGCACACACAGGTGAAAAGCCAAGCCCAGAATGTCCTCTCTCCTGGCCCCGCCCTGTACTGCCTGACTCAGGCTGTGAGATGAGTGCACAATCACTCAACCAAGGTCGATGGTGCAAACGGGCAGAGACAACATCCCAAGAGGAGATAATTAAAACAGTGATGGAAGAGGACGCTGGGATCCAAGTGCAGTTATCTGTTCTCCAGGTGAAGATACGGCATTAAACTATGTTCTTCATCCCTGAAATAAGTAAATCCCGATTGAAGGGGCTGACAGGCCAGTAGAGCAGTAGAATGGGTTGAAAATCTAGTCTAGTGATAGATCTTTGTGCCGAAGCAAAGCCATAGCAATGATCAGGGATCAGAGAGGAGTACTGAAATGCCTACAGCATTAAAACGGAGAATCTTCTTCCTTTCTTTCTTAAATAAGACAGGGAACAATATCCTTTATTTTCTTTGCTGTAGCGGCTCAATAGTTTTCATCAAACATGACTTTGGTACTATGTTCTGTTGTTGGGAAGGACAAATGCGGGTCGACTGTTAATGTCAGAACTAGGTCTTCTCACGAAGCCTCTGGCAAGTGCTCTTTCTCATGCTGGATGAACAGGAACCCTCAGTACACAAGGTGCTTCTGTTAAAGCTTCTGAAATATTGCAGTGGTGTGACTCGACAGATTTTTGACTCTGACTTTCTTACACATGTAAACTTTGGAAAACTGGAGATAAAAGGATGGGGGAGGGTTTGGTTTTGGAGCCACAAAGCTGCAGACACCAGCCATGGATGCCTCTGCCCGATTTCACTGCATGTCCTTTTCCGTGACACACATTCAATGGCTGAGAGTTAAACATTGTGGTTGAAGGAAATAATCTGCTCACCACCATGTGCCCTCCCTCCTTCTCCCAGAGAATCTCACAAGAGCAGAGGCTGATGACATGTGGGTTGTCTCTGTTCCCTCTCACCCGAGAAACTACTTGGTGACCTGGTGGATGGCATGGGCAAGGTAGCCCACATTGCCAGAGGTGACCCCTGCCACAGAGATGCGGCCGTCCTTTGTCATGTAGATGGAGAACTCCTTGGTCAGCCGTTCTACCTGCAGAGAGAAGAGGGCTTGGGCATAACTTTCTGGGTCAGGGGGATTCCCAGCCATGTAGCCCTGACATGGCATAGTAGCCAATTTATCAAAACATAAAAGTAACAGTAGGTGTTTCCTCACTGAAACCCCATTCTCAGAATTTGGTGTGCTAGATCAGAGTGGCTATTTTAAAGTAAACCTACCCCACCCCACTGCTATTGTTGATTCTGAGTCAGTGACCCTATAGGACAGAGTAAAACTGCTCCATAGGTTTTCCACGGCTGTCAATCTTTATGGAAGTAGACTGCTACATCTTCCTTTCATGGAGTGGCTAGTGGGCTTGAATCACTTGGTTAACACCTAAGTACTTAACCACTGCACAACTAGAGCGCCACATTTTAAAGCAGGAAAATGAATTCTAAGATGCGAACAGGTGAAAAAAAACTATCTTAAATTTAGTATTTATAGAAAAAGAAAAGTTCACCTTTGGAATAGCATTACTCAGGCCCATGTTGACCAGGCTATTTACTGTTCTCTTGGAAAAGCAGTCGTGGTCATAAAAATGCCCAACGCAAGCCCCGCAACCTCATGGCGGATACAGACAGGTCAACAACAAAACAAAAGCCAACGAATGCTACATACTACTTTTTCCTGAAAGGGCTTCAAAGTAACCGTCTAGGGTAACCGTGAATAGGTTTGCAAGGACTGATCAATCGGTCAGCTGAGGAGGAGTCAGAGTTCACCCACCTGTTCAGGCTTGAGCCCTGTGAAGCAAAACATGCCAATCTGGTCAGTGATGTGCTGCCAATTGTGTGAGGAGCCCTCCTTCTTGAGGTTGGAGACCAGCTGAGTCCGCATGCTAATGATGCGGTCAGCCATGCCTTTCACTTCTTGCAACCTGTAAGAAAATCCTGAGATGAGATGTGGCTCAGTTCAGTTCCGCTCAAGTACTACTGGACAAGTCAGAGCTCACAGCAGTTTTATCTCCCTCCGGTACTCCCCTCCCCACTGCCATCTAGTTGATTCAGACTCACGGTGACCCTGTAGGACAGAGGAGATCTGCCCCATTGGGTTCTTCCAAGGCTGTAATCTCTACTGAAGCAGACTGCCAATCTTTCTCCTGTGGAGCAGCTGGTGGGTTTGAACTGCCCACTTTCGGTCAGCAGCTGAGCTCTTAACCACTGAGCCACCAGGGCTCCTTCAAGCACTCCCCTAAGTTGCCTCAGCTCCCAATCCATGACTGAACTAGCTACATGCTGTGAATGGCTTTAGAGGAGAAAGTGATTTAATTGCTTTCTATTTTATATCTGTACACCATTTTGATCAGGCAAAACCAAATCACCCAAAACCAAAGAAAAGACAAGGAGGGACAGGGAAACCAGATGAATGGAAACAGGGAACCCAGGGAGGTAACAGGGAGAGTGCTGATACATTGCAGTGATGGCAAAGTCATGGAACAATTGTGTATAAACTACTGGTTGGGAAAACTAATGTCTACATAAACTTTCACCTAAGGCATTAAAAAAAACAAAACAAAACAAAATAAAACGTTTAAAGATTATCTTAGAGCAACAGCTCCAGGGTTTCATCCAACCTTCATGGCTCTAGGGAGTCCATGAAATTTTGAAATTCTGTTCTACATTTTCCCCCTGTTGATCAGGATTCTTCTATAGAATCTTTGATCAAAATGTTCAGTAATGGTGGCTGGGCACCATCCAGTTCTTCACGGCTAAGGAGGCAGTTGTTCAAGGAGGCAATTAGCCACAATTCCCTATTCTCCTTCTACTCCTGACTCTCCTTCCTCTGTTTGGTGGTACATAAGGAGCCTCAGTAGCTGCTTCTCTTTTGTTGTGGTGGTGGTTGTTGTAAATATTTCTATCACACAACTTTTCCCAATTCAACTTTTTATGTTGTTAAGTGCCGTCGAGTCGTTTCCAACTCATAGTGACCCCATGCACAGCAGAACGAAACACTGCCCGATCCCACGCCAGCCCCACAATCCCTGCTATACTTGAGCCCATCATCGCAG